GTTTAAAATATATACTTACATGTATAATGAAGGTTCCAACTGATTTGGTTACTTGTTGAGGGGTTTCTCTTCTTGGCTGTTCTCAACACACCTTCCTTCTTCTTATATTCCCTCTTGTATTCCTTCTTATATTCCTTCCCTCTGAGGGGAGGGAGAGGGGGGAGGAAAGGGAGGAATAGAAGGAGAAGAAGGAAGGAAGAGGAGAGGAGAAAGAAGAGAAAAAGAGGAGAAGGGACAGAAGAGCAGAGAAAAGATAGAGAAAAAGAGAGGGGAAGGAGAGAGAGAGAACTCAGTGTATATTCTTCATTAATTTTATCAGATCAGGCTCTATCTTTTTTATCTGTCTCCTTTGACTTTACTTAGTTCATTAGAGGTCATATCTACAAATACAGCCACGCAGATGGATGATTAGGGCTTAAGCATATAAATTTATTGGTGGAGGGGGGACACAAATATTCAAGTAAGGTTTTGTTTCTGAAGTTTGTTTTTTTATTGGAGTCTTGCTTTTCTTCTTCCATTATTTATTCTTTGTCTATTATATGGCATAGAATTCTTCTACATATATTCTTATGTAAAAATATCACAACTTATTGATTAAAATTTTCCTAATTATTTTTGCTGTTATGAACAATGTTACTTTGAACATTCGTATCTGTCTCCAGCTACAAATGTGCAAGATATCTTTGGGGTATGAATCTCATACTGGAATGTAGGTCTATAGCAATGTATATTTTCAGTGGTAAATCATATATCACATTGTTTCAGTAGTAAAAAGTGATTAATACTTGTGCTTGACAGACACAATTGCCCTCAGACAGCATCCTGAAAAATGAGTGTTCCAATCTCCTAATAGGCAGTGATGCTTTATTGAGGTTTTATATCTTTTCCTGATTAAGATTGAAGTTGACCTTCTTTGAATATGGTGGTTAATTCATGTGAAGTTATCTAGTCTGAAATTCCTGTTACTCTTATTTGTAGAGTTTGTAATTGTGTTGTAGTCATGTCTGTTTCAGTAAGTAGCTTGTCTCCCAAGGGAACCAAAGGCAGTGAAGCAATTATATCAAGTTCATCTCTAATTTGGAGCTGGGAACAAGGGTTTGCCCCTGGGTCCTTTCTATGTTTTGTTAAGTTAGAAATCACACTGACTTCTCAGGAGCTGTGAACAAATATGTATCTGTATAGCAACTTTGTTTCTTCTGAATTGATAACTTCTGTGTCACATGGAACTTTGAGCTGCTTAAAGATGTCACCTATTTTTATATATTCTGCTTTGTAGCAGAAGATATGTATGCTCATCATCTAAGGGGCCATGTGAATCCAGATGTAACATTTACATTCAGTGGTATGATTTCTGTCTTTGTGAGTGTGTGTATGTGTGTGTGTGTGTGTGTGTGCGTGTGCTGTGCTACTGATCCTTAGAGCCTACCCTTCCCTATACCGCAGTAATTTATCTTGAACTATCTATCCAAATTTTGAAACAATAGAGTAAAATGAAACAACCAAGAACAATAACCTAATTCAAATTGAACCTATATTAACTTTTGAGAGGAAGTTAGAAAAAGGTATCTCCTTTTCCTTATGTTTAATCCTCATAAGATCTGTTAGGTGTTGTTCCAAATTTTATCCTAAATCTCTGTCGCCACAAACCAGGTATAAATAGGTATTATTTTGTACCTAGATTTTGGGTGCTAACCTCCTATTTCGATTCTCCTAATACTCTAGCTTTGCTATAATCTGATCTCTGGCTCTTATCCAATAAGCCATTTGAAAGTTTTACTAACCTCTTTAATCTTTTCTTGGGTCTACTATTGCTTTATGAATAAATTGAAACTCTCTACCATAGAAAAGAAGGTCTTGTATACACTGGGTCCTTGATAATTCTCTAATCCTATATGTTACCCAAGCCATAGTCTGGAAACATCTTTATCCTTGAAATGTCTGAGCCCTGGCCTCTGCAAAAACTTCCCTAGGGTGCATGTTCTCATAATCTTCATATAAGACAGGCTCTTCTATTAAGAGTTTCTTTTAAAAATTTCATAAGAATTGTCTTCCTCATCACCTTGGCATCTTGTAATTTGAAAATTTATCAAATCCATGAATTTACATACCTTCAAATCCATTTCTAAGAATTTACCTAATGTGTATGATAGATAGCGTTATATATGTGTGTATAAAATTACATAAACAATATTAGAAAAAACCTACATGTCCTATACACCTCTAATTACCATTTTCATCGTGATAACCAGATTATTACTAACATGGTATTAAGTAACACAAAAGAATGTGTTAAGAAATGTCACATTAACAGTATTTTTTATGTAGTAGACTGAAGAATGTAGGAATTTTAGAAATAATTTCAATCAGGTTGGAAGATTGGTACTTTAATGTAAATTTAGTTAATCCTTAAAAATGAATGGTGGTGAATTAATGAAACACCTCCACAGCTCTAAACGAGACATTCAAATTTAATAAATCTGAATATAGAATATTGTTCTATATTTTAGTAGACAGAATTTCATATTCTTTGGTGGGTGCTACATCAGAAGACTAACCAAGCTGAAGGACGAGTGGTGGGATTGGATACACAAAAGAAATATTAGAAGTGTGACAAAAATATCAATTAAAAATCATTGGCATAAAAGTTGTGTTAGGAACCCAAAATAGCAAGTTATTTGTTTATGTTAGTCTGGCACAACTTTTTCAGCAGGTCCAGGATGTGACCCAAACATCAGATGTTTACTGCTGTTTTAAGGACTTGAATAAGAGGATTTTCTTTTAGTTGAGGGAATACATAGAGGGAATTTGGAAGAAAAACAGACGTCTTCTCCAAATTCCATGAAAATTTCTTTAAAGGATGATGGAAGACTGAAAATGCTTTTCTTGATAGAAGAACCAGTGGAGGTATACAAGGCATATTATTAGATATTTTATGTTATTGGCATAGACTCATGATCTTAATGCCTTTGTTTTACCTTCTATGTATAATATTTCCACTAAATGTCCAGATCTTCACATCTTGGAGATCCAGCACATTTCATTGGATTCTCTTATATCGATCCAAACTTTGGAAATGAAGCATTACCAGTTCTGTTTCAAAGCCATGGAGAAGGTTAAGAAAGGTCAACAAACCATTAGAGGTCATCTATTAGCTTTTCTATTAATTGGTTATGACCTGACCTTACATAGACTCAATCTCAGATTTCCATCTTGGGCATCTACATTCCTCAAATAGGAACTTGGTCTGATCTGATAATCATTTAGATGTTTCATGGTTTCTCAAAAAGATTAGTGAAATCCTTTGTCCAAACTATTATTAGCTGATTCATATGGTAAAAATTCTTGAAAGGCCCAAGCTAAAAGGTACATAATAACTAGATCAAAGCCATTTGTTTATTATGCAATAGTCACAATGACTTCTCTTTCTTTCACATATCCATCTTTTTCTTAACTTTCAGCAAGAGAGTAGAAGAAGAACATGAAGAGGGATAATCACAGCAGTGTATCTGAATTCATCCTCTCGGGGCTCCCTATCAGGAAGGAAGAGCAAGGCATGTACTATGCCCTTTTCCTGGTCCTGTACCTGACCACAGTGCTGGGGAACCTGCTCATCATCCTGCTCATCAGGCTGGACTCCCACCTCCACACCCCCATGTACTTCTTCCTCAGCCACTTGGCTCTCACTGACATCTCTTTCTCATCAGTCACAGCTCCAAAGATGCTCATGAATATGCTGACACAGAGTCAATCCATCTCTTATGCTGGGTGCATTTCTCAGGTATATTTTTTCTTGTTGTTTGGTGATCTTGACAGTTTCCTTCTTACCTCAATGGCATATGACAGGTACGTGGCCATCTGCCATCCTCTGCACTATACCACCATCATGAGTCAGAACCTCTGTTTCCTGCTAGTGATTGTGTCCTGGGTCTTGTCCTCTGCTAGTGCCCTGGTACACACCCTTCTCCTCGCCCATCTCTCTTTTTGTGGTGACAACTCTCTGACACATTTCTTCTGTGATCTCTCTGCCTTACTTAAGCTGTCCAGCTCAGACACCACCATCAATGAGCTGGTGATCCTCACTGTAGGAGTGGTAATCATTACTCTGCCATTTATGTGCATTTTGGTGTCATATGGCCACATTGGGGCCACCATCTTGAAGGCTCCCTCAATCAAGGGAATCTGCAAAGCCTTGTCCACATGTGGCTCTCACCTCTGTGTGGTTTCTCTATACTATGGAGCAATTATTGGGCTCTACTTTTTCCCTTCATCCAATCACTCTAAGGACAAAGATGTCATTGTAGCTGTGTTGTACACTCTGGTCACACCCATGCTGAATCCCTTTATATATAGTCTAAGAAATCGGGATATGAAAGGAGCTCTTGGAAACATCCTCAATAAAAGAATATTTTCAGTGTGATGGGCATTGTTTCCTATTCACTTGACATGAAGAATTCTCAATCCTTCCCTGTGCCCCCTTCTCTGCTTGCTTTTTTTTTTTAAGATAATCTTAATGGAGAACACTTTTCTTGGCCTGTGTTTCACCTTGGATATAGTTTTGTCTCTATTAAATTTTTCTGCTGGTGTGATGAATCTCAAGAAAGTTTTTTTACAAAGCTCGATGGACATCTTTATTTTTCATATGATATTATTGTCCTACAAATATTTTACATTTCTGTACCCCTAGATTTTAGTTTTCTAATTGAATAGGTCATAATCTTTTTTAAGAAAAGCTTTTTCCTTTCTCAAGACAACAAAAACATTTTTTCTGATCAAATTTGATCCTACTTTTTGTTCAATTTTATAATACACTTGTAATTTATTTTTGTGATGAACCTTAATAAGAATGCTAGTTTTATTCTTTTGTTTTCCTTTTCCTTTATTTTTATTTTTTATTTACACATAAAATTTTAAATATTTGTGGGCACCCTATCATGTTTCCATACACATGTAGAGTACAGTGTTCAAATCAAGGAAAACATATTTATTTCTCAAACATTTATCACTTGTTTGTGGTGAAAACTTTCTGAATCTTTTATTCTACTTTTTTGTAATATATAGTAAAGTATCATTATCTAGAATGATCTTTTGTGATGTAGAACACCAGAAATTATTTCTCCTACTTAACTATAACTCACTATATGTTCACCAATCTTCCCCATCCCTCTCCTATCTGTTCACCTTAGTGATTGCAATTTTTTAAATATGGTCCAATTTTTCTTTGTGTTAGAGTGATGGTAACTAGACATGCAATTTGTTTTTCTTCAAGTAAAAGAGCCCTTTCACATGTGGATGTGATACAGCCTTCTGTAAAAGGTCAGGACATTGATCTGGACAGAATGAAGACATCCAAAATGTTCGACAGAAATTTGGTTAAAGCCCTTGAGGTCCTTGTCATCTGTGCAGAATGCATAACAGCGAGTGTGGAGATGTTCGATGGCCATTCACAGGATGCTATTATCATGGGTGATGAGTCCTTTCTAATAAGGGGCTCGGCTACTTTGGATGAGGCTGAAGAATGGCCCGGCAGGATGTCAGGAGTCTAGTCAACCTGAACTGAGTTCAAACAGGACTTCAGTGTAGTTTAGGGCAACTGTATTTTATTATAAAATGAAAAAGAGGTACTTCCCTGCCCAACTACATAAGTGTAGTGTCCTGTGTTTCCATGTGAAATGGTAAAATTTTGCCTTCAGTTCTTGAAAAACTTTCTCTACTTAGGAAAAGGTACTTAATTTCATCACTGTAAGTTGGTTACTGTGATAAACATTTCTGTATATATTATTTTTTCAACTATAGTATTTGTTTAATTTAAGACAGATTTAGTAACTATGTGCTACTAAGCTAGGAATATTTAGTGGAAGTGAAACTCAAACTACCATATGTATGAGATCAATTTTTTTTTTTTTTTGGTACCAGGGATCTAACTCAGGTCCTTGCACTTGCGCAGCAGGTGGTGAAACCACTGAACTAAATCCCGGGCCCATATGAGGTCAAATCTTGATGCTTCTAAATCACTTCAATAGTTTTCAATATTTTTACCCACTGTATCAGAAATATTACTTTTAATCCTTACAAGAATATTGAAATAGTATACAAAAATAACATGTAAAATATATATGATTTAAATATATGTGCACATATATTATGTAGTTTCTCTATATTTGACTGTGTGTTCATATATAGTATTGCATTTTAAATAATAATATTCCACACATATTCATTTAACCATATCCAGTCTTGAATTGTAGAATAATAATAATACTATTGAAGCTCCATTTGTCCCTCAATTGTATATTCTTTTATTTTGAAGGGACTTAGTACCTTCAGTATTTTCTATATTCCCTTACTTTTCATTAAAGTATTAATATCTTTGTACTGATTCTTTAATTTTACTTGCTCTGTAATGCATCTAAATGAAATACAACAATATTCTGCTACATTTTGCTATTGTTGCCTACTATTGTCTTTGTAAAATTCATCTATGTTTTAGATTCTACTATGAGACTATACACAGAATTACCACCTTTATTTTCACTGACTTTTTTTATTTTATCATGTTTCTGTTATGAAGTTCCACTTCCAACATTCTTGTAAATGCATCCAGTGTGTACATGCAATAAATTCTGTAAAGTATATATCATGGTTATTACTACATTGCAAGACATGTGTATATCCAAATTAGCTATCACTGCTAAACTTTTCCACAAAATAGTTAAACTAAAACTTCAGTCTGAAAAAGCTACACGTTATATGATTTTAACTACATAACAACTAAGAAAATGCAAAATTGTTTAAATGATAAAAAGATTAGTGGTAGTTAAGGATTTGTGTATAGGAGTGGGAGGGATAAAGAGGTAAGCAAAGGGGATTTTAGGGGAGGAAATTAAATCTGTATGGTACTATGCATTTGTCAAAACCATGCAAACAAAGAAAGACCAATATATCAACCAATATTTCCCTTATTGCTATTCATTCCCTTATTGCTTATTCATTCACATAATACACATGGTCATGTCTTTTTCCTGCTTATATCTTATATTTATTACATTGTAGACAGCGTTCAGATAATCTGGAAATTTATCCTTTGTCCATAGCTTATATTGCTAATGTTTTCCATTATTTGTGGCCATTACCCCCTGAAACACTCACTCTCTGATGTACCAATGCCTTAGTTTTACTTGGCTTATTGTTACTAATACATTTACTATGATTATTATGATACATTTATTATTATGATTTAGGTGATTCTTTGATGAAGTCAACTTGAGAACGATAATCATTCTCTTTTTTTTGAGAACGATAACATTCTGATTTATAGACAATGAGAAAGAGATTACATATCAGGAAAAGTGCAGTCAGGGTAGATTCATATTTCTTGCAGGGGATCATCTTGCATTTGCATAAAGAGTAGGAAGACCTCAGTGAAAACACCTCCAGCACAATTCACAATTCACGCTGTAATCTTGCTTAAAGGATAGAATTGCTTCAAAAATATAAGCATAGCAAGGTCCATGTGGAACAGTAGCGTCATAGAGTAAAGCCTTTCAAAACTCGGAGGTATTAACACCAATTAAACACAGGCACACACAGAGAAACATTTTAAGACTGACAACTTATGTGTGAGGACATTGTCCAGAGTCAGAGAGAAGTCTGTGACTGGAAAATAAAAGTCTTACTCCCTAGAATGAAACCCATTTCCCTGACTTAATTTCTTCATAAATTTTTATTGTATATGTTTGTGATACACAATAATTACATTTGTTTTGGAGAATGTGTTATATATATATATGACATATATAAAATCTTAATAATTTAATCCCCTCCCCCTACTCAGCCCCCCTCGCCCCTTGATCCTCTTTTCCTTCTCTAAAAAGTCTATCTGTGTTTCATACCATGTTTCCTTTATTTTGCTCTTCAAATTATTTATATTTGGAGTTTCTTATATAAGAGAAACTGCAATATTTAACTTTCTGTATCTGATTTATTTCACTTAATACTATGGTCTCAAGATTCATCAAGTTTCCTACAAATGACTCAAGTTTATCTTCTTTATGGTTGAATAATGCTCCATTGTGTACATATACCACATTTTCTTTATCAATTTATCTGTTGATTGATGATTTAATTATTGTGAATTGCACTGCTATAAACATGAGTATGCATGTATCATTGTAGTACAATCTCTTTAACTCTTTCACTCCTGGCCTAATTCATACTGTGTGATGAGAAACTGAGCTAAATATCATCAGGAGTTAGAACAGTAGGACATCATTCATATGTTTTGACAACAATTCAACAGGACTCAGTTGTTGGAGATTTCTATCACCTGATAGAATTTTGTAGTGGAGTTAGCTATTAAATTATGCATATTTCAATATTATTTAAGCCAAATATGACTGAATTTTTAAAAAGTAAAAATAACTCCTTTGTCCTATGTACCTAATGATAGTATGCATATTTTCATGTAAAAAATTAAATCTTTTCCTTCAGTCCTTGAAAGTCCTTTAAGCATATGGAATTATTTTATTGAACTATGAGTAGCAATGTCTTTTCATATTAATAATCAACTATTTAAGAATAGCATTTGATATTTCATTCTTTTTCCTGTTCGCTCAATCCCAACTGCATCATTGATTTGATTCTTAACATATGTAAGCTGTTCCTAGATGTCTATCCATATGATCAAAATAGTCAGTCTACTTCTAATTTTAATCTATGTACTATTATCTATTTTCTTTTTTTAATCTATTTTCTTAATAGCTAAGAATTAATAATAAGTTTTAATATGTAGAAGATGGCAAAAGCTAAATAATCTGTACTTTATAACTTAGCATTTCCACTCCTAGATATATAACTGACTGAGGGCTTGTGTTGAAAAAATGTCATGTATGAAAATGTTCTTAGAAGCTTTGTTATATTTACATGCATGTATATGTGTGTATGAGTATACATAATTGCATATATTTGCAT